TTTCACTGTAGAGCTTTCAACGACGCAAACACATTTTACAATTGCTGCTAATTTTCATTCACATCTTTACAACAATTCTCTGCCTCGGCTATGATGGGTCATATTGTTGTTTTGGAATGGATTTCTAAAGCTAAATTTCGTTCCTTTCGACAAACAGTTGTCCGCTGACAGCTCCTCAAATCCTATATATATCCTATATATATATATATATATATATACATGTGCTTTTGGGCGATGCGATCGAAGTAAACGAAAACGATGAAAGGAGCCACGGTGAGCAGATGAAGTGTCCTGTTGCTATAGAGGTTTTCAACGACGCTTACGCAATCGCGTTGGTGACTTCGCAATTTCAAAGGGCTGTAAACAACGGAGCTCATCGTATTTCAAAAGAGCCTTCGGAAGGCATCGTATACAGTAGCAACCAACGATCAGACGAAGTAACAGAAAATGAGTCAGAAAAGACAGCGATAGTAGTGGACTGATGGAAAACTGGGAGGAACGCGGTCCAACATGGCTTGCTAACTAACCTAACAAAGAATGAGATTCAGACATGGTCTTAAGTCCTAAACCCAAGGCAACGACGCTCACTTGCTCGTTGACAGAAAATGATCTTAATTGCTAGACGACTAAAGCAGGGCGCTGTTTGTCGGGCAGCAGGATGACATTGACATTTATCTTTGTCGATGAAGACGCGCTAGCGAAGAGACTGTTCCCTACCACAGTTGAATTCCTGACGTTTGAATTGAGTGACGCGGACGTCGTATGTTCGTACCTTGACCGGATGACAAAAAAAAGAAGATTTTCAGCCGATTAATAAACATAACTCTAGAGTAATTTCTTAAGGACATTATGATCAGCAGCAATCAGAATGTAAAACAGCAAAAATAACGTCTTTATGTGTACACTCGTATTAGTTAATACCTAGAATTTAGTGTTGTATTTTTTTAGTAAGGAAAAAAAGCCGAATGAGAAAGTTTGTCAGTTATGTTGAACAGAACTCGATGCGCATCGGGACGCAATGACAATCAAAAACACTGTAGAACCATACCGGTTTTATGTATGAGTTTTATGTATGTCTCGATTGTGTATGTCAAATTGGCTTACTGAAATCTAGGCTGGGTGCAGATTTTTGTATGATTTACAACATGTGGGTCTGCAGGGACCGCGTAAGCCTTCTCATCTGTGACTTAGGCTATACTTATGGTGCTACGATGAGATATTGTTTGGAATAATCAAAGTGAGTTGTTGGTGTGTGATAACGAAATCGATCCTACTGCAAACAATGCAATACCCAATCTATCTTCATTGAATATGTTAGTATTATGTCGCATTATTATAGGGATTGCAGCGGCGGCGGCCCCCGCCGGCCGTTGCTTTTTACAGCTATACGATCCGCCAAACCGGTAAAAGCCGACCGTCTTAGATACTACATACATAAATCTGATAAAGAAATGGTCAAATTTATATCATGCGAACAGAAATGTTGCAGCCTAATTTTATTCAGCCACATCTTGTAATCGTATTAAAGGCAAGTTAGTAAAACTTGTGAGATCTTCAAAACGGATGAAAAATTAATGGAAATTCAACACAGCTCCTACAATTGAACCTGTCAATTCGTTCATGCCTTTACAATGTTTTATATTCAATTGTCAAACCTGACAAATCAAGATCTAGCTTCCGTTATACAGTAGATGATTAAGAACTCGTTCATCCCACTGCAGTCCGCAGTCGGCGCATTTGATTGCCTTTTCCAAAATCGCTTTTATCCCATTGTACGAATTAGATAAATTCTAAGCTAACTTTCTGTTATACTGAATCTTCTGTAGATGCTCCAGTGTCAAAAGCATTGTAAATGTCCGCACGTGAAAGAAGCTATCTATTCAGCGACCCGTCTGTTACCGTAGCGTTTTCCCAATTGACACGAATCGTTGGTCGATGGTCAACAGTTAAAGGGTCAAAGGATGACAAACAGACACATCAAACGTGGCGTAATGGTCAGGACATGTATTCTAACTTGGGTCAGGCGTATTTCGATTCAGCTAGATTCACCTTTGTATTTTTTTGTAACTGGTTTGAAGCTTTCAAGAGCACATGATAAATTCAGATTATTTCGCAAACATAAAACACCGCGGGCGCAGAATATATATTTTTAAAAACAATTCATCGATAAGGTCAGCTATGATATTTGCAGCAGACAAGTTACGGTGCTGACATTTATCTTCTTGCGTTTGTGTCTACCAATGTTCTGTTAAAGCATGTACGTTTGTTGATTAATTACTCGATTTAGTTTTAATCCAAGGAATACCTGTGGAGGTTGAACAGCGTTTGATAAGATTCTTCCTATCTGGAGGTTGCGTGGCTAAGACTACGCCCATCTCCGAGTTATCGTAGCAGTGTTACTCCAGGGCTGCTCGTTGCGAGTCGACTCATCCAGAAGTGGCTTCCTTTTGCTACGCGATACATACATACATACATACATATCAAGGCCTAAGCCGCAGGTCGTTAGCACGGGTTTCGCGCACCCGACGACCCGTAATAATCAAGAACCTTTCGAATTAGGCCCTAGATAACTTAGAATTGATTTTACATAATTTTACTGTTGTGGGTTCAAAGCCGTTTACTTTCCACATATCTAACACTGAGGCGAAATTATCTGTTAATTTGTTTCAACAAGATTCCACACCAGAACTTGATTCATTTGTTTGTCATATTAAAGATTCGACTTCGGGCGACTTAAGTGGGTAATGTGAAGGCGTTGATATTCTTCAATTCCCTATTAACTCGGTACTTTTTTGGTTTTCGACAAAGGATTCATTAAACAATATATATCAGATATATATCTGACGATGTTCCTTTGGCAGTTTGGCTTAGTGAATTGCAACAAGCTTTTGTCAAGAAAAAGAAGCACGTTTGTTCTTCTGTATGCATTACCCTTACAATATTTAAATCTATCGTTTTTCCCAATATTTTAAGTCGTGTAAATAATACTACTACGTACTAGTTAGGGTCCTCAAAAAATATTGCGGTTCCGAAAAAGCCACATAAGCCGGACATAGATGAACAGACCTGCGTAAGCTCTGCATTACTCTGTATTCTGTACAATTGAAGGTTTACTATAAAAGATTTGACAGTGTGCCCGCTTAAGCCAACTGGCCTACCAATTGACAGACTGGTATATTTAATTCAGCTAAGATGCAGTTAAATACTTATCCGTAGTAGGGTTTGCGAATCACCTAATTCTGAATGATTACCAGACAAAGGTTAGTAACCAGAATGAGAGCAGATCATGATTTTGGTTTTGTACCTTGCTACATTGCTCCTGGTAGTTGTATGATCGAAATAGCCGTTACCTTTCCTCCGACTCCCAGAAACGCTGTTTCGCGGGTGTTTTTGAAAAATGCGCCATACGGCTGTGATGCCGATTCGTCGTGACCTGTCTCATATTAGTTATTACGACTGCGTCAAACGGTGAAATTGGGGTGTGACTGTACGGCGACTATCTAACGAGTGTCTGTCCAAGTTATGCCGTTACGTCCCACCATTTCTGATTAGTCCAAATGACCACTGAAGAGTATCCTTGCAATTATAGTCAGTTACGCGTATGTGAGTGCTGGCTATGTAATGATCTATCTTAACTTAGGGTGCTAAAGGCTAGACATAAGCCTTGACCGATGATCCAAATTGCCGATATTTAGCTATTTTAAATGTCGATAAAAGTTAAGACGCTAAAATTTGGTCATTTAATGTAGACAGTCATCAATTAGAGCTCTCACTTTTTCTGCTAGCCCTGACCAGACGAGCCACAAACTTCTGCGGGCAATGCTTGGCCAAATGAAAAACCCGCTTGTATCAATGCTTTAATAGAGGAGATTCAATCTTGGCTTGTTTGTTACTATGTTAAGTTTGCTTTCTGATTTCTAAAAAAAAACAACAAGATAAATAACTACCAAGAATAATGTAGATGTTCAATAAAGATCGCATATTCGAGGTGAGTGCACACCCACTCACCTCGGCTGTGTCAATGTGCTGTCATTTAAACTTCGACTTTTACAATAAAAAAGCTTATGAACAGTTTCTTTCAACCCCTTTGTAACAATGCTGGGGGATGGGTAAAATCGTCTGGAACGGGGCTGTTAGCCATTCGACATTTCAGTTTTACCACGAACGTATCAAATTGTTGCTTCGTAAAGAAAAACCCACTCCTTTCTTGTGGGCGTTTCTTACTCATCGCCGACCCACTGAACTAAATGGGCATAAAACGGAGTTTGTCCTACCAGAAAATGTATCTTTTGTTATCTTATAAAGGGTCCAGTCTACAATGTCACATATGCACGAGGCGTTCATTTAGTTTCGACAAATATCAGGCTGCATATGTCTTATAGGAGGTCATTTGCTGAGAGCTTCTGAGCATCCTGTCTGTGCAGCAGTCAACAATATTGAATCTATAATGAAGATAAGTAATTAGTTGTCCAAAACAAAAATATCTAGTCATCTTTGATGGCGCATGTCCAACGACACGTTTGAATAAAAGCACAAAATTACAAAATTAATCGCCGTTCTAAAGGTATCGCGTCCTCTGTCAATCGACGCTAGCTGCCGTACATAGTTTAGCTAATTAATGTTAGGAATTTCAACTTCCGTGTTGGCCTAAGTTGGGAATTATATATTGAAACAGCTTCTATCGTAAGTGTTTAGTTAGCTATTTCCCTAACAACTGCATGTTTTCTTTAACACCCCGTTGACACGTTATAGATGGTGTGCTCCTGTTATGCCTTTCTAAATTCATGACAAACACCCAAAACAGACCTCTCGAATTTGTAATGATAAATAAAATAAGTGCGTAGAGTAACTTGCTGGATTGAGCTAATCGGCGTTTGATTCGGATTTTCTTCGCAGGTGAAGCGGCGACGAACGTCGCCATTGCTTATCGTTGTTTCGCGGAAGTAAGAGTCACAATGGCACTTGGGGAAGCTTCTGACCCAATTTACTTGATTATCCAACCCTTGACAAAGTGCCGCCGCTCTTCAACGCTTGCTGTGCTTGTTTTCGTGCTTGTCAACATCTTCCTTAACCCACACACCGTGTCGGCGCGTAAGTGTCATATCAACAAATAAACAGGCCTCTTATGCTTAAAAACTACGATACTTTAAGTTGGCATTCTGAGGACGTGTATAGTAAATCGAAGGAGAGCAAAATTATGCGATGGATGCTATCGATATTTGCTCATAGGATCAATGGCTTTTTCGAGGATGTCTGGATCGGACCGCACATAATCCTTCAATGAATATTTGGAAAGCGGCCTAGTGAATGAGCATAAACATTATAGCTATACGACAAAAAAGTTACACGACAACTTCCCGTTATAAGTTTCTAACTGCATTCAGTGTATAGCTTCTTCTTTAAGGCATTCGAGCGTAGGGTTCAACGACTCGGTGCACACGATGAGAGGTCTTCGCATTTGCTACAGATGCTCCTATTATATTAGATTCATCAATAGGTCTTCATCAGTAGTAGACTTCATACCGCGTTTACAAAGATACTTGCAATTTGACGATCATTTGCAATTTTTATAGGTTTGCTGTTCTTTTTATTTTCACAGGAAGCATAGCTTTAACAAAACGTGCGGCCTTTTATATTGCTAACGGAACAGGTGAGATACTCTCTAGATAGTCTATGTTAAGCTATCAAATAAATGTACAGAAAAGATAAACTCGTTTTTCGAATAAGCTTTTTTTTTTAGCTGCTTTTGTTATTTACTAAAATCTGGCATTTCAAAGAAATGTTCACAGGAAGTCTCCTTAAAGAACTTCAGATGGCGGTGAGTCTCCAGTACGATTGTGTGGCTTAAGAACGCCCTCTAGTTTCAGACGGGCATAGAATACAGCGGCAACACCCGCGAATCATAGGCTCTATCTACGCCATTTCTGAAATGATTATCTTCCGATTTACCCTAAAAGATGATAAACATAAATATTTTATATAAAAAATTATATTTAAGAAAGTATCGTAACCTAATGACGACATTCAAAATGATTGGACGCTGCCGAGGATCTGGATGGACCACTGGTAAGGCATATGACATCGGCACTAACCTAGCGGATTAGCGTTGACACTTAGAAGTAAGGGTTTTTGCTCTTGACACAGGAACGGAACAGGTATCAGGTCAATGGTACGTCCGTGGACATCATTTGCGGTGCACACACTCCACTGCTGAGGTTTTTTTTTTAGCAGGCTAGAGGCCAAAAGCCGTAACGAAAATTAGGTAATAATTTTTAGTTTACTTTAACCGTGGACTAAAAGCTAGCACGACAAATAAGACAAACTTACGTGTGTCTGTCCTGCAACAAGAATTTTGTTCCCACTATAAGAAAACAGGGGCCTTTAAGCCATCACAAACTATACACACCCGCCAATGAACTGGATTATATTCGTATTATGAGCCATAATTTCACAATACATATTTGTGAACGCGACTATTTACTTAATTGGTTATCTTCAGTATGCAACGTCGACGGCGTCATTTACCAGAATAACGAGAAGATCCCAACTGATAATCCTTGTGAGGTAAGTTATGTACATTTCTGGATAATATGTGAGAATATTTCAACCTTTTCACAGATCCACACTCCTTGCCATAAACAAATAATTTATCATAGTTTTTATTTCGTTGCTGACATAACACGGCGATGTTTCTTTCTATCGGTATTCTTTTGGAGAAATATGACAGCTCAATAAGATTAGGCCGTCATTTTGGGACTTGATAGCCAGGCAACCATTTTCGATCTTTTAACACTCAACGAGTGAAGATTCCATGCCAGCTTCCGATGTGCCTATGCAAAAAAATAATGTAATTTTATTTTTTGACTAAAAAAGAAATCTACACTTTTATCTATCATTCAAGAAGAATCTGTTTATTAAGAACTTTGTCATAGTCATAGAAAAACCATCTGAATGATTATAGGTTTGTTACTGTCGACCACCCGGGTTCGCCTGCGTTCTCAAAGACTGCGAACTAAAACCACATTGCAAAGCCGTTCGAAGAGAAGGCCAATGCTGTCCAGACTATCATTGTGGTGAGCTTTCGTATTGTAATTTCTTGCTAACTAACACTTAGGGTAGCCATTATTTTTTGTGCCGTTGAAATATAATTTTTCATACAATTTAATTCAGTTCAAAAAATTAATTTTTGTGTGATACATCGACTGTAGCAAATGAATAGACTTGTCTGTTTTATTAAAAAGGTCTAAAAGGAAAAAATGTGTCAGGTTAGAAAAAAATTCTAAAATATAATGACTACTGTTTTAATAGATATTGACCACTTATAGCCTAATAGTTGTGGGCACTCGTGTATTCTCATCGATATTTTTCTCTTATATTATCAGTTTAACAGTTTCAATGTCTACATCTTGCCGATGAATTTCAGTTGGCCATTCGTACTGAATTTCAAAATAGCTAAGGTTTATCATTTTTTTTTTATCAATCTATGCACTGGCACACCAGATAACCAAGATATTCAACTTATGTCCGTTTTATGATTAATCATTAACATGTCGCTCTGAAGATGGATGTGAGCATGACGGGCAGTTCTTCTCCGACGGTCAGGTTATTCCAAATACGGGATCCCCCTGTTATACTTGTTATTGTCAGGTATGAATCGTCGTCGAGGAATGCTGTAGAGTCACACGATATTTAGTGAAGATTCAAATTTAAATTTGTGTCCTCAAACTATTCATGTTGGCCTTTTCAAGCCCTCTTAAAGGCAAAGTGTTGTTTTCTTGCAATTTTTTCGTGCGGTTTTCGTGCGGATAACGAAATTTCGCGTACGCATAATCTTAGGCCTCAGCCTCATGGTATTACTTGTTTTTTTTTTTGAAAATGCACTCGGCCGCTGATAGATTTGGACTGAGTCTGCTTTCTTACCTCTTCTTAAGCTACCATTCTGAGTGCTGGCAACATCTCCAATGGATAGAGCGGATGCAAAAGATCAGTACTGTTGTCTTAACTTTCAAATATCTCTACTCATATTATCTTATAGGGTTCATCTATCAGCTGTTCACTAGTAAGCTGTAGTTTTCGGAACGATTGTGCCGCTCGTTATAACCCCGGTGAATGCTGTCCACGTTATGAGCACTGCCCCCCAAAGGGTACGTTTACAATAATCAGATAGCCTACTTTCGCTGCATTGTATATATGCAGTGAATATAGAATAGCAAACGTGTACACAGGTTTCTTCCCTGATTTCCACTTAAGATTCGACGGACTGAAGATTTATACGAATTCAGCTATAAGCTTTTTGGTGGCGCTACGTATGTACTGTAGTTAACCAAATATCAATTATGTAATAAAGTATCTATGATCTTTCAGGCATGCTTAACTCGTTCTTGCTGAATGTATTATGTCTTTTGTATTCTAAAGCACTATGTTTCAAAGATATTGCCAATGTAATGCATTACTTGGTACGAACGTTGCCATTTGTCTCTGTGAAATCAGGTGCTTGCATATGTTATTTTCAGTATATCAATCTATTGGAGGGCTACAATTACCGTTACGCTGAACATGTCTTGGTCGATTACTGTATAACTCAAATCTTCGTTGCGCCACCATTTATCACTAATCTGTGCTTAACCTCAATAACCGCGTGTGTATTTCTATTAATAATAACCTTATAACACTATCTTTCCTGTGTGCTTCGCTTAACTGCACATCGTTATGCCGTTACCTTTAGATGTTAATACAACTGAGACGCTTCAGCCCGCTCGACTTCCTACAACACTCTTCCAATCGCGCTTAGCTAAATTCAAATCGCGCACTACCTTTAAAGCCCAACTTCCCGGTGCTCCTGTTGGTACCTCGGGTCAAATTTTAATTCACCACAACGGGCTTGAGTTTGTGCCTACAAGCCCACCCCCCGTTCGACCCACACTGTATTTTACCGGTAAGAAAAATGACTGCAAAGTGAACTCAGACAGGGTCAGTCATGTTGACGTTTCAGCCTCGTAAAAAGACAAATGAAAAAAAAAAGGTATCGATATCTTTTTATTTATTAGTCGAGACAAGGATCTTGCTTCGAGTAAGTATGATTTGATTTATAATTATTAGTGTAGTGTCTTTTCACAGCTTTATTTATCGGTGCAGTTTTGTAAATTTGAGAAAAAAAAAAAAAATTTCTTTTTTCCTATCTAACATGCGATTAAAAACTTCACTGCGCGAATCGAGCGCTCAGAAGACATTGAAAATAATTAGCAATATTGTGTGTCATATTCGGTTGGTTTGTGAGAGACTTAATTAGATAGGTTTTTTCCCTAATTGTCGTATATTGTCTCGTAAATCGTATATCGTCTTACTACAGTAATAGCGTCTCCATATCTTTGCTTCCGATTAAATAGCTATGTAGTAGAAGTAACCGCTGCTAAGCAGATGCGCCATATCACTCCGTTCAAAGCTGCATGCATCTTGTGCAACTATCGCACCATACGTCTGTATTTACCCCTTAATTGTACGAACAAGCAATTTTACAGAAATGGTAAAACATATTGCAGTTGGTAATTACATGTTCAGTGCGCTAATGAGTTACCTTTGAGCTAATGAGTTAGTTCTCGATGAATACAAACGTATCACTGAAATATACATCTATAGTTACACAACACTAAAACAAATCAGCTTGCTAAACCCTCTGATCATCTATAGTTTATACAAGCACCTTCTTTATGATCAAGCAAGTAGCAAGTTAAGTTGTCAATGAGAAAAACATTTCTGGAGCATGCGGTTGCATGGGTCTTCAGTTGTTCCTCACCGTCGACGCTTGATGTTTCGCCTCTACGCTTCAGGCTTTACTACCCCGGAGCGTGAGAATGAAATCGACAACAACAACAACAACAACAACAGCCAGAGCAGCGTCGGTACTATTAGACAATTTACTTTATCTGGCCGCGTACCTCTCTTTTCGAATACAGCACCCGATGATGGCCATAATCATAATGAAGGTAAATTTCGTACACGACGTGCGCATCGAAAGAACCCTTCGTCACTGTCGCACCAGCGCTTTTTAATTCCAATCATATAATGCTCAGATTAACAGGGCTGTTGGCCTAGAGTTCAAAACTGCCACAACAGCCACAAGGTTTTTTGATATCTGTCGAATTTAGCTTTGACTTACGTCAGCGGAGCTTAAGCATGGTTGCATAATGCAAGTTCACACCAGGATGCTTCGGATTTATGGATATTTTGCACCTTTGTTTTCTTCCTAACTAGGAACGCTTACCTCACATATATCTGGAGGAGACCTAGATATAACGGGACGCCCTCAAGCAATCACGGCCATTCCGCGGATAACAACTGAAACACCTGCGAGTACAACGATCCAGATACCGACTTCTCTGGAACCCTCAGGTTTAAGCTCTATGAATCATATTCTGTCAATCTTAAATTAACAAAATCCAATGTTTACTCCATTTCTGCAATATGTTCTACTTACACTTTGCTCCGCATAGTATCCGGCAAATAGCGGATGGATAATTTGTTTCTCTTCGATGACGATTTTATGATTGTTTATCTAACGGGCTTCTGGCTAACTGGGACTTAATAATTGATAGCTCACACTGCAGTGGATAAAATTTCGGTGCGAGTCGATGGTCACGAGAACGAGACGAGCGGTAGTGGAAATTTACATCATAGACGGACGACTAATACACTTCAACCTGAAATGACCGTTTCAACGATCACGACAACAGCGGTCACGACGCTGACCACAATGCCTCCTGCTCCTTCTACGCCCTCAGTGACAACGACAGCTACGACACCAACCACAACGACACTGACGACAACGACTTCAACTACGAGCAGCCCCGTCAATACAACTTCAACAACTCCAACAAGGATTAGTACCACCACGATGAAAACAACGGCGCCATTACGGCCTTCAGAACCTGTAACATCCGTGGCTACTCCGCTAACCAGCAAACAACAAGAGTCTAATAGCGACTCATCGCTGGGAAATCCCTTAAAAACCGTCGATGTTCCGGAAGAAAACATCCATCGTATTGATGATGTCACCCACAAACTAACGGCGGTCACAAAATCCATCTATAATAAGGTGCGTGAAAAATGTACAGGGTTTTCCAAGTAAATTGAGACGATGCCGATATCATTTGCTGGTGAGGTGCATAAAAAAACGTTTACATTTTTTTACATTTGTCCCTCGTTGCCTTCTCGTTTATGGCGTATTTATTTGCTTTGGTCAAAATTTCGATTCGGGGCCAAACCGCCTATCGGCAGTTTTTGGAAATACCTGTTCTAACTTCTCGGTTAACCTGTTAATAATAAATATGCGAGAGATTCGTTTAATAAATACAAACTGGTAATAAATGTGAGGGAAATATATTGGTACGTTTAGATCTGTTGATATTTCGGCCAAACAGTACCCTGGCTATCAAGCAAAAGCTCCAAAATCCAAAGCCAAAAAAAAGAAGTTGAAGTCCAAGGAGGCTCACAAGTTGACTGTTTAGCTTATAGTTAGTTCTCTATTGAGAATTACAACGAGTGGTCGGATTAGAGCAGTCTAATGGATGAGAGTCTTATGTTGCTGTTGGATGAAACAAAGACATTTCAATTAACAGAAACGGAATTTGTGCACGGTATAATTAATACGTGACGATGGCTATTGTAGGCATCGTCAGCCAGCCCTGGAACGATCGAAGATTGGGAACTGGAAGAGTTTCGTCGCGCCGTTGAACTTCTCGAAACACATTACCGTAATTTCTACGGTCGGGCACAAAATTTACCTGCTGGCGCGGCAACACATGCAAACGCCAATAAGATACCTCCAACACCTTCAAATCTGCGTATGTACATCGATTTCTGATTTGTAAATATAACAGGATAACTAAGTCCTTTTATATTATAGCAGTTTTTTTTTCTAGAAAATAAAAATTTACGACCTGCTTGCATCCCTGCATCATTTCTCCTTTAGCTAAATATGTAGTATTTATGTAAAAAGTGACTGGAACTTGTCATACTGTACACAGGACGTCGCGATAGTCTACCTATCCTAGATCAAGACATGATCGACGCGTTATTCACTGATGAAAATCCGCCTGCACAAGTGTCTCAGAAACGTAAGTTCTCGTTCTTTAACGTCAGGGTGGTTCTATCATTACCATACAAGCGGGATAGTGTAAGTCGAACTTAGGTCAATAATGAGATTAGAGGAAGTGTTTACGCCGCTGTTGCGCACCCTGTTGGCAATTATAATACATTCGATTAAAAATACATTACGGCATTGATATTTCACTTCAGCAGCAACGACGCCCATTGCTCAGACCACTTCTCGACCTCCCAAAGGTCCCCAACTTAAGACATCTGATGGACTGGAGGATCTCATTATTCCTGAACAAATGCCGCTGCTGGGACCTGGAGATACCGAACTACGGTCCGAAATCTCAAAAAACACAACCGAAAAGGATATCGAGCAGTTTCTACGTGCGACTTTGGAAGAAGACGATCAGAGACGAAAAGCAATCGCTATCGAGGGACCAGGACAAAGTATTAATGGTTAGCAGAAGAAAAAAGCAATAGAACGCAGTATTTGCAAATAAAATTCTTATTACCGCTGAATTTATTTTAGAATGAGCAGTAGACGGACCCGTATATAACCGAATTTAAAAAGGTCTTAAATTATCAATTTAATAATAATAATAATTGCTTCGATAGGATCAGCAAATGGTGCCGGCTCTCCTACCGAGTCGTCGGCCGAGAAGCCGGTTCAGACCATCAGCACAGAGGCAAGTATCTTCCTAGCTTCAATGTTCTAATATTCAGCATAATAGACGCTCCATCAAAAGCGTTGGGAACGGATCAATATAGAGTAGCTGCATATTTTCAAAATGCAAACAAAAAACAATTAACATGTGAACTTTCCAATTAATTTTTAAATGTAAACTGGACTTAAATATTAAGCCCCGTTTTCGGTTGTCTGTGGCCATATTGTCTTACTCGAGCCTGAAGTAAATGCAGATATTTCTCATTTTTGGTAACGTTTAAGAGAGAGGTGTTTATTGCTTTATTTTCATTCAAAAATCTATCTGAAGTTTACATATAATAGGTATCATACGTATTGTTAACGCGAAACCTATCGTTACCGAGTTTTGTAGACAAAAATATGATAATGATCAATTTTATGAACTTTGCTAGATTTTTTACGAATGGACAAATTGATCTTAGTTCTTGAGGCTTAGTTCACGTAATATTTTACTATATTCCTATCTGTTTTTAGGTGACAACGAGTCATCCATCGACTGAACTCCCGCCTCTGGGGTCGAGCAACGAAACAACGACTCCAACAGTACTGGTAAATAACAATGAAGACTCTAACGGTACTACAGCATTGTCGGGCACGACGGATAACTCGATGGTACCAACTGTCACCCTTACTAATCCTGTACAGTCAAATGAGAAAGTTAGCAAACTTACGGTTTTATCAACGATGACAGGGTCCGTCGTAATGAGCGATGCAACAGATTCAACGGAAGCTAAATGACGCAGTCGTAAATGCGGAGCCATAACCTTCAGTCAAATAATGGCCATCATGAAGAACAAAGAAGCGTACTTCCACAAACCTTTCTCATGCATTGTCTTCTTAAAAAAAAAAAAAGAAAAAAAAAGAAGCCCAAGTATGGCAGCGGTTGGTTATTACAAAAAAATATATAACATGGAACATTTCTTTGTGAAATAAATGGTGAAAAGGCTTCGAAAACGCTCGCAAATACATTTAGGTGCGTAGGCCACTTGTCGTCCTGAATTTATGAGCTATTGCGTATGGGAAATGCCTTTCGATGAAGCTTGGCTGCTTTACTTCAAATGTGTTGCCATAAACATACTTCTCATTAGTATATATATATATATATATACTGAGACATCTGAGAAGTCTGAGGCTCCTGATAGATTGTTACATATATCATAATCAAAACCTTCTAAAACTAACTGCTAAATGCAAATAGAAAAACTAATACTAGCTATATTTCAAAAGCTTTTTTACTGCAGCTTGGCGACCATATAGCTCCATTCTGGTCTGATCGGCTAATGCGCCATACAAAATACATAGTAACTCTAACTAACGAGCATCTTGCCGCGCTGTCTCAAAAAGTTAACATCAGACATCAATAATTCGAAAAGTGATAAATGAAGCAAAAATAAGGTATTACTATTATCGTTATTAGGTTTTTTCATGAATCTGTTAAGCAAACCTCAGGTAAGTCTAGCAGGACTCGCTCCAAATAGAGCCAAGTGATGCTAAACCTGAAGCTAGGTGACTTCGAGAAATAAAAGATTCAAGTGAATGAAGTTTATGAACTAACAAAAGTTTAGTTAAATTTGCCTCTGCTTTTATCTGACGCAGTTTGTTTTGGGCGCCTTAAAACGTTCGGCTACTTATTGTTGAGCCCATAAATGCTATCAGTGTATGCGGTTGACGTTGTCTTCTTGAATTCAATCTGAAACTCATCCGATTCAAAACTTCCGCAGGATGGGGATGAAACGTTCCATGAATTAATGCAACCCTCGATTGTTGCGGCCGTTGGTGTCTCAAGAGCACTGGAAGCCAAGGGTGACGGTGCGAATGTCGCTCGAAAGGTAGGTCGGACGAAGTACTACAGTAAAATGTACTAGAGCTTCGATGGCTTTTGCTTGGCGAAAATCAGCCTCGTATACAACAGCAATAACAAAAAATTCGCTATTACCTATTTATTATGTGAGATCGAATGAAAAAAGCTTTGCTCAACTTTGAGTAGGCTCCCAAATTATCGTTGCCACCAAGACTTAGTCCTTTAATTTTATTATGGGCTTAACAGGTTGCTTTGCCGTCGCCGCATCATTTTATACTCCGCTCGGACGATGATGTGCCGGATCGACTTTCAGGTCAGACGAGCTCATCCGTTCAGGCAAGTTGCAATCTCACCGGACAGCTCGCCGGCCTTTTGGACACGTTAAGCAGGACTTCAAGGTCGCACGATCCTGTTTTAGACTTTTTGAAAAGAGCGATCCGCAGCCACGCTATAATGCATCCAGATGATGTTAGAACCTTCATGAAGGCCAAAGAGTCGAATTCACAGCCCGTCTATCAAGCGAACACTTTACCAAAAGCAAGCGATAAGGCTCATTTCCTACCGAATGTCGACGATATTGACGGTATCACACAGCGGTAACGTGACTTCCACCCCCTGGACCTGAGAATGCGCAACAAATGAACTTGTACAGAGTTTTAAGTTAGAAAAGAAAAAGCAAGGATTAAAAAACGAAAAATAAAAATACGTTAGGTAGCTCGATATGACAAGTAGAAGTATGATGTGATAATTACGATAATGATAATGCAGCTTTGATGATCGTAACCTTACGAGGCAGCTCTTCCTGCGACGAAATTACAAAAAAGCTAAATATTCTCTTGTAACTCGGCCTTCAACCTTCCGAATCGAAACGGTACTTCGCTCGAAACCTTAATGACTATATATTATAAGGTACCTTTGACCATTTTTCGATGTTTATATTCTCATCCCTTGTATTTCGATATTTGCAAGCTTTAGTGTGTGAATGCACGTGAGAGTGTGGCCTTTTAGGTCGATAAACACAAAACCTGTCCCTATAAACAAGTCGCGGATGTAAGTCGTTTTCTACCGTCTGCTTCATTAAAATATACTGCCATTGGCTCGAGTTGGCGTATTGTACCATTATGTGAAAATCTGATCCTCGATAACGGATAGAGAGGACTGTGTTGGCAAAGGCCGTCGCAGATTAACAATAAGCAGGAATGCCATGATCTGAAATTTACTGCTTCTGAAAACACTTCTGTACAAATTAGAGACTCTTATTATGGGCAAGTTCTACAATTGCCTACAAACAGAACTTAAGGCCAACTGAATTATTGAAATTTTCGTTTGGATTTGTTTTTACAACACCTGAGTGTTGCAGTTCTTGTTGCGCGGGGTAAGGGAAATCGCTAAGGCGAGTAACAGCAATTTATCGAGAAATCTTTCACTCTAATTTAGAAACGATGTTACCTAGGTAGCCGCTAATTATAGAAAATTATCTTATAGCAGCAAGAAATAGATGTGTATGTGTAAGGGCAACAAAAGTTCAAATACTCATATACGGTATAAAAAAAACTTTTGAAGTTCAACTTCCTGCTGTAAGAATTATCTTGCTTCTATTTAAATCGTATTTATAAATAGTTGCTAGATAGAAGGTAATTTATTTACTTAATACTAATTATTTTATTTACATAAATAAAATGGATTGAATACTATTTAATAGACATCTTAATTATGAACAGAAGGTTTACTTTAGTTAGCGCGTTCATTTTTGTCATAACTTAACGGTCAGCGAAGCTATTTACGGTGTCATCATTGTTCTTCATTAATCTGCGCAACAATAGCAATAGTACATAATTATTAAGATCCCCCATTGGAGGTCATCAACTGCGTAGAGCAAATGGAATTCTGCCGCGTTTATTAAACTACAGATTATATTATAGCAGCTTTACGCAAGACTTAAACCGGGACCTCTAAGTGCACCAAAAACAATTCATACAAGACATTACCCTTAACTCAAACCATACGCTTCATACCGAGGGATTCTCTATTTTTGGTTACTTGACAAACGTTTTTACATGGCATCATCCATTTTGTCTAGCTCGCAAGCCTCTAAATACGACAATTGCCCTATTACGCGAGACAATCTTCCGTAATTGCTTTCATCTCATGGCAAAATTCTCTCTTTCTCTTATGGTGCCATAAAAGAGTCTTTATATCGAAATGCATATTTATGGTACGCATGGGAAGCAAGCTCAAGACGTCTCCAAGCAAGCCATATTTGCGGACCTCCCATACGACTATCGTTAATAGAATTTTTCTGTTTGCAACATAAATCAATATTGCTAATCCTTGATTCGCCATGTGAACTTTGTCTGGACTATGTAAATCGGGTAATTACATCCATGATTGCCTGGCTACCGTCATTAGACGGGTTCCGAACTTATAAAGTTTAACTGTGTGCTACGCCAGGAGCAGACGAGATGAATGATGCTATCAGCAATAGCAACGTTATGTCCCTGGACGCGTATGTGTGTCCTACGCACGTGCGATGACTGTTATTTTTAAGCTCCCAAGCCAGTAGTAATTTAATTCGATCGGCAGCAACGAAACGCTTTCTGAGCCGGATCGGGTTTCTAGAGTCCATGGTTCCGCCGATGGGTTTAGGGAGGATTTTGCGGGTCAACCTGATCTGTGGCAACCCGTCGACGTACGTAAATCTGATTGGCCAGCTCGTCCATGCTTGAGCGATAGATCGGATCGGCGGTCAGATCTCTGAACTTGTGAGTGTGGTTCGACGCGTTGCGTATGTATATGCACATGACTGTGTCTGCATGTATCTGCGCGGATAAAAAGTCACCAGCCAAGCCTGTGGGAGCAGCATTACCGGCGACGATAGGAACATGCGACAGACAGCGTCCGCCGATAGAGCAGAACAGAAATACGATCGACTCTATCTTGCTGACGACTTTATATTTGTTGCGGTTGTCGGCGATATTTTCGTCCTACTTAGTTTTTTTCAAGGGCCAGCGACACTCCAGCGGCAGAAGTGGCTCAGCTGAGTGTCGGCAGTGAACGAGCCCGCACTACCTACTAACAACTGTCTGACTATGAGGGTGTCGGACTCTATACATAGATTTGTGTGTGTTCGTTGAGGTTTTCAATTTCGTGCCGCTGTCGTCTGTGTCTTGAGCTCTATCTCTGACATTGTCTTCGTTTTTCTTTACGTCGAGGCGGAGCAACTCGGCTAGCGGCAGCGAGACATTTCAACTAGCAGTTCACTACTTATTCTGAAATTTATTGGATAGAGACATTAGTCGACATCGCACAGAGCTGATAGTAGCAGCCGGTGGCGTACCGATAGACCCTGTCGGCGGGGCCGCTGGTTGCATCGAGGCCCATTGCACTACTCTATCCATATAAAGAAAGTATCAGGGTGAAAAAAGCAGCGACAACAACAAAGGCAATGACGATAAAAACTACCACCACAGTGATATCGGAACTGTGTGTATCATAGAACGAAAGTACAGTAAATACTATTTTTGTGTTGCCTTCATTCGACGGAGACTCGTGAAAATAACGTGGACGTCAAATTGCCTTTCTGAGTGACTGTAGAGGCACAAAGCTTTCTGGGTAAAACAGACATCTCTGCGCCGCGTGCTATCGGCCTACCAATTCGTAGAGCTGAAATTATCGACACATACGTTCGTGCTTGAACGTGGATGTAGTTGAACTTTTGCGTATACTCTTGACTCTCACAGCACGTTACAAAGCTAGAAAGCACAAAACAAAAACACTGGGCCTCTATAATTAAGCTATTGGTCAAAGAAACCCGATGACCCTTGATGCATCAGACCGCTGCTATTCCCATTTCGATCATTTTACAGTGAACGTGTTCGTAGCGTAGACTAGCCGAAAAGAAGTTCATTATCAACAGTAGACCTTTAGCTATTCCATATGATTTGAACGTATAAAGAAAACGTCGACGATGTCCATTTGTACTTCAAACACAGAAGTGTTATTCTGAAACGAGACATAAAAAAAGAGACAATTCACACTTTGTCACCATGCTAATATCGTTATTTAATGGCTTTTTTTTTTTTTAAATATAACCTCATAAATACTTCATAGATTATGCCTCACCGGTTCTAGTGAGTTTATATATAGTACACACAATATACAACGATATATACAGTTAGGTTATATTTGTTCGGACCCTGTTTTGGCCACCTTTGCCTCCAACACAGTCATTTGACGTGCCCTCTACATACAATCTATAGAAAGATCTAATCCAGTAGATAATTTGCGGTAAAATCACATTTTGTTCTTAGCGGTGTCGCAGCTAGCAATAGATGGACTATAAGTAATGTTGGGAAAATTGCCCGAAAGAGGGGAATTCTGCATTGGAAAAATGGTTGCATGACAAATTTGACATGGGGTCTTATCGAATCGGTAGTAAGTTGATTTGAATCCGCGCAAGGCTACTCGTTGCCATTTCAAGTCAGTCATTGCTTGCTGTGCCTACTAGTTCCCTACTTGTATCGAGCCATTTATGTCCTAAGTGCAACTTCGAGAACTAATACGCCGCAAAACGAAGTAGCTGTTTATGTCTTCATTGCTATACAAGTCGTGCGGCACACATATATATATATATATATATATATATATATATATATATATATATATATATATATATATATACGCCATAATTATTCATTAATTATTAATACTTTTATAGGATTATTTACAGAATAGGATTTTGCGGGTGATGAAGATGAGCTCGCCGTAAAGATTGTTATTTTTCTAGCGTTTCTCCTCCGACTAACGGATACTGCTACACCGGCGATCATGGCCTGTCTATAACATCGTGGATTGTCTTCTGCTAAGCTAACTGGAGATCTGATCTTCCTTTCTCAGAAGAACACATGTATCCACCCAATGACAAATGGGTCCCTCTGGATAAGAATATGCTGCTTGCTTGCTTTTTTTTTGTGTTTCGGAGAATTTTCAGCGGATCATGGAAAAGTTTTATTGTACAGTAAAGAAATAAACTTCAGGGTGGGTTCACAAGATTAACAAGGTGATTTGCCGCAGTTCGTCCACAAAAGCTGAAGAACACCGGGGCGCAAATGAAGTTCTAATACGATGAGGGAAATCCGCAGTACGTTACCGCTATCACTGTCTGTTTGCTTTTGCAAGTCATCGTTAGAATCGAGCCTAATTTTCGACATCGAGATCGGCTTCCTCCGGCGCATCGGCATCTTCATGCGACGGTTCCGGTGAACTTAACAATTCAGCTCGTTCAGGTGACATTTCGGGAGGAAGCATACTATAGGCCTTATCTAATTCTGGACCCTCGGGAATACCGAGTGTATGAATGAGATTATGTCGACGAAGGTCGCAATTGCGACGGAACTCCTTGCCGCAATGGGCACACGTGTACGGCTTAATGTTTGTATGAGTTAACAGATGCGTTTTGAGGTTCGAGCGCTGATTAAAGCTCCGACCGCATTTGGGGCATTTGTGCGGCGAATCTTCCATGTGAAGTATACGATGAACGGCAAGCGTCCGGCTTTGACAAAAGCCCTTTCCACATTCAGTACATTTAAATGGCTTCTCCTTCGAGTGAATGTATCTGAAACAACAAATACTCAATATTAACATTATTACTAATACAACTGGTTAATCAATTGGTCCTCTTAAAACCAGTTTTTCTATAAACTGCAGCTTTACTATGTCTATTAATCACATTTGACTGTAAATCACGCTATTTCAATACCTATAGAAATCACATTACAATTGAGGGACAAATATATCTGATAGTACAAATGGGATTAGTAGACGTCGCGTTCTTTACCTATGATCACGCAGATGATCCTGTCGTCGGAACGCTTTATGACAGATGTCACAGATATAGGGCCGTTCGTCAGTGTGTGTCCTCTCATGAATGAGCAGATTATAGCTTTTTGTGAATCGTCTTTGGCAGAATTTGCAAATAAACTCTTTTTTCGGCCTGGACGACGTTCTTGGTCCTCTTGGCTTGCGTTCAAACATCATAGCAGCCGAATGTGGTGGAACTCCAAAAGGAGGCCTTCCAGGGGGCGGGGGAGGTCTCGTTTCTGGTCGCATTCCAGCAAACGGAAAGCCCGGAAGCCGAGGTGTTCCCTGTGCATAGGGGGGCACGCCGATTGCTGCTGCTGCTGTTGCGCGCGGAATCGCGTGAGGAGGCAGGTGCAGTGCTGAACCGCGCGCTGGTATTGGCGTCGGCCGTTTTACTGCTGGCTGCTTAAGACCACTTTGCGCCAAAGCTGCTAATCGGGGGTCTTCAGTTGTCGCCGACTCGGCAAGTCGAGCGAAATCGAATTTTCGTCGAGACGACGCTGACGACGGCGATGACATCGATGACGTTAAAGTGCTGCGTTCGCTTGTCGGCGTCGATGAGCTAACTGAAGGCGTCAAACTTTTATGGCCGATCGGTGCATGCGTCGTGCGTCCAACGTGCAGTGCGGGTGTTGTGCTCGCCAATTGTGATACAGCCGCCTGCCTTGCCTGACTAAGGAAAAGCGCTTGGTAGCTCGGACCGAGAGAACCCAATGGAAACGGCAGTAACGGGTTTTGTCCCCCCGAAGCTAGCCTTGCTAATGAACTCATCATGGCCTGCTGAAAATAGGCAACCGCTGACGGATTCGGTGAGGCAGACGAAGATGGTGGCGAAGGGGAAGGCCGAGCTGGAGATGATGACGGTGAACGCTTAACCACTGAGAGATCTGTAGGCTGCTGCGCCAGGGCGGCGGCTGTTGAGGGCGCTATATCTGAAACGAACGACGAAAAAAAAACGCAATTACGTGAACGCTAGACAATTGGCACGTATTTATTATTATCTAAATACTATTGAAATAGTTACGAAATGAAATTCTTCACTAAAAAAAAAGCATAGTTTTTCTAAGCGCACGTTTATACACCGTCATAAAGCAGAAGAAAATTTCTAGGGTTAATACGGTTCAGATAGCTAATATTCCTTTTACGACAAATATATTTGTGGTGGCAATTTTAACTTGAAATGCTATTCAATGGAGAATGTCAGCAATATATTGCCCACAGACATATTCCGCTATGAAAAAGCGTCAAATCAACCAAATCAGCGATGATGTTCGCGTTCATCCTCTATCCTTCATCATCGTTGTCCATCATATCTATCCATTGGAAGCACAGATTTCATTAAATTTGATCACCTCTACTTACATCTACCGTTCTTCGTATATCTCATCTTATCTTCATACATATTTGACTCGTGTTTGCTACCGAATGCAGATCGAGCGTAGGTTCCGGACGGAGCTATATTACAGTAGTATCCAAGCTGATGCTAGCTAGCCATAAAGGCGAAAGCAATTATCGAGATTCGAGTATACATTCCGGTAAATGCCAAGTAGTTTACCAGCATTGGGCATGCTCTCGCAATAAAAACAATAAATAGATAGAGCATCAACAATAACTAGACAGCGTCCATAGGTACAACAATAATAACCCTACAGTTACTGCAGATATTGATTGAGGAGTGAACTGTTTCGTCGGAGTGAACGAAACTCATAAACAAAGGCATCTTCGCTAGCGTCAATGGCATCTACACGTTTGCTGTGCTATGGCTAGATACTACTCGTGACCAATGCATACGGTTGTCTCTGTGTTTAGCATTGTTGTTCTTGTTGCTCTCAACAACGCGGTACGCTTAATTGTAAGGTCGGCACAAAAAAAATATGTCCAAATCTACTTCGTAATACTGCGTCCGGAAGCGACGAAATATAGACGACAAGAGAGGTACTGACTGCGAAAACACCAATCGTGAAAATCCTAAGTTAACAGCAATGGTAATCAGGATAGTTATAGAAATGATTTCTCGGAGCTGAAACCGTGTCGGCCGCCTTCTCTGAAGGCACTTGCCGAAAAAAAAGGGTTTCGTACGCTGGACACAAGCGTTGGCGGGTGCATGGGCAGTTGACTATGACTAGCCACACGGGAATGCTCTCCAATGAATGTGAGGAACTGACACGGCCTAGCGAATCGAAGCTATTTTACAAAGTAGGTACGCCCACATACTGGAAAAATAGGGTCTTCGAGACGGTTCGATCCAGCATTTAACCTAATCGCAGAAAGCCTGACGGTCCTCTAAAATGCCACGAAATAAATAGTAGATTTTGGCAGTATCTGTAGAGTTCACGCATGAATTTTAGTCACACATTTAAGCTGTTGCTGTACTTCAGTTCGGGCAGACCTAATTTATGCCCCTCTGAAGTCGTTCTACGTTCCATTTATTCGCCGTCGGAGTGCAAGACAAGTATATGCAACGATTTTGCTTTTATTGCATTTGTATGGCGGCTGTGTTAAGCCTCGCTAGGTACCGATACTGGCGACGCCACCACGAAGAATAATCATTCTTCGCGTTCCTGGAAATCGCCTGCTTGATCAAGACGGTATCGGCTGAAGCCACGACGGGACCTACGCGGGGCACGGAAGCATCGATATTGATCCATAAACGCACGTGACTACGGTCAGGTGGTGCACGTTTCCGATCAACGAGGGCAATATTCCGTTTTGGCGGAAATTTGCACGTGCACAGTGGACTAATGAACAGCTCAATTCTTTTAATTGACTAGCAGCCAGGTTGACCGGGTGAAAAGGCAAGCAGGGATTCGAAATAAAACCCTTCACATCGGATATAGGTTAATTTAACTAACGTACTTCTGCGAATGTAATGTATGATTCATAAGGGCCAGGTCACGATAGCAAGGGCAAAACGGCAATTCATTTAAAATGGCCTACCCTGTCTAGAGTATAATACTGTGTCTTTGCTCACGAGCCGGAATATTTCTATATATAACATAATCAGTATAATTGTGACTCTGGCTCGTGCTAATGGATCGTGATCTGTGAACGAGATGGATGTATCATTTGTAGCTTCATACATAACAATTCATATCAGCAAAGGGCTTTTTTAAACATGTAATAGACACATCAAATGATCGCCGGTTCTATGATTTTGCAATGATGCAGTTCTCATTTACACCATCAGCGCGTCTTCAAAATTACTTCACTAGTAATGGTAGCGCCTTAGATGATCGTAGACTCGCTGTGACAGTCTGTTTCTATTGTCGTGAAATTATTGGCAGGGAAACAAACGGCACCGTTTGTGTGGACCATTCGTGTAGAGATCTTTCTACGTTTTATCGAGATGTATCCTTTTAGAACAGTCCACATGCGGCGGCGGCATCATCATGATGGAAAGCTTCAGTTGGTTCGACCCGATGTATATGCCCGTAACACTGTCCGTACTGCTGTGAGCTCGATACTTTGTGTATTTTTCGGGCCTGATGCGACCCGCTAGAAGCCGTTGGACCTGCTGATTGCCCGTGATGGATTAAAGTACTCCAGCCGCCGTTCAGCGGTTATGCCGCACTACAAGTTTAGTCGCAGTCGATTCCCATGATCATAGCGCCGACAGGAGAAGAGATCGCCAGCCAAATGTGGACGATCTTTTGTATCAGACGTCGTCGTGATTACTTTATCTTGAACGTCTTTACGTTTTTACCCTGTTTTTTTTTTGGCGTCGTTATCATTAAGGCGTTTGTCATCTGCTGAAAGGAAAACCAATCATAAAATGCTATACAATATTAACTTGAGCTTGTTTATTTGAATTTTCTTTCGCACTTACATAGCAATGTACCGATGAGATTTTTAGCGTCGTTTCTATGGACGCCCTTTGCGTCCTGTGCACTAGGTCTTAATCATGTCATTCCCAGTAAGGTTCATCTGCATATGTTGTTAGCTCTAAGACGCTCACATTTGAATGAGCCGGCCAATAAATGCAGCGACGTATCGCGTGATCTTTAGAACGGTAGCCGAAAAAAAAAAATGTCTTTGGTAGCCACAAAACATTAGCAATGACCTTTAGCCGTCTCATTACGCGAGTCTGAAAAAGGGGTCGGAGAAGAAGTCTGAGCTAAAATTTAAGCCGAAATAAAAGAACCCTCATTTCTTGCTCGAACCATTGAGCATAGCCTTGTGGCAAGAGTAGACTTCTAAATGGGGTCAAACTCAATAAATTTTAAAAGATTAAAAGAGACAAATAACAAATGTCTTCTACAAGAGTTCACCTGATGCGGGCAGGTTTGACTCGGAGATAGCGGTTCAAACTTCCCCACATTTGCAGCACCATCAAACAACAGGCTAATTCTGTCTGAAGCCAGTTTGGCTTGAAACTGACCTGTGGAAGATCGCGCTTGCAGGGCCTGAAGTAGGCTCATTCGTATGGGTTAACAGGTCCTTTCTTGTGGTATAACTCCAGAGAAACAAAACCGCCGATACTAGATTGAACGTCCCTCGATCGAGCTTTCGTGGAAGAAGATAGGTTTAAGCCTTTAGTGAGTTAATTAAGCTTGACTATACTACATTGAAGAATTTGAATGTATCCATGCTTTACCAAAATAAGCCATTTATGTCAAACTTGTCACAAAAACGATCGATTGCGACCTATATATTCCAACGTAAAAAACCTTCTTCAACTAGTGCTTCAATTAGTCGTTAAGTATGATTTTTTATTTCATTGCAGATTTCAGACAGAATGTAAGGTAAGCATATTATAGTAAAGGTAGCCTGACGCTTTTGGAAATCAATAGTCTTCCTACGTGGGATACATCTTAGTTGTACATTCATAGCATAGAAGATGATGACCTATTCTCAGTGTCCACAGTCAACATCAGTAATCAAATGCTTTCTTCAAAGCTAAACAGTTCATCGTTGTTATAGTAAACAGATTTCTTTAAAACTTTATTTAAATGCGTGGCCATTTTTCGAAAGTGAAAAATATTTTGCGTTTTGTGTAAGTGTAAATTGCTGTTCCAGAAAATATCGATTTCGTCATAGTCCTGCACACAGCCCTGATCTGATCAATTCGCAGCTGGCCGCTTCAACCTCATCAAAAATCGCACGCTATCCTACTTATATTTTACGACGTTCCCGGAAAATGCTCTAAGAAAGGCGCGTGCCTTGTGAGATAGTTCAAGACGTCATGCAGTTGTCCTCTGCATTTTAGGCTAGGTGATCGACTAAATCGTCGATGAAGTCCGCGCCTCGAAACATCGTCGCCGAATACATCTAAGAGTGACCTGCCTGCCTCTGGGGCGTCGGCCCGAGTCGGCTAGGTTTCTGACGGTCGTGCTCAGCTATGTATGTATGTATGTATGTATGTATGCAAGCTTTATACAACGGTCGTTTTTTTGGTCCACTGAAGGTACACAAATGCCAAATCTCGCTTTTGCCTTAATTGCTATTGTCCTATCGCCGACTTCAGCCGGTTCGTCGCCATCACCATAGTCCACGCACCTGACCCATGGGTAGACTCTGCCATACAGCCACTTCGTTGTGTCGCAGGCAGCCACAACTGCCTTCGCTTCTGCGGGAATCGAACTCACCTGTCGTCGAAAGTCGCCGTCGGGAACTGCTGCTTCCGCCGGTGATGTCTCTGCTGCTGGGGCCGTAACTACTGCACCCTATTTTCTCCAAGGCATAAAAGCTTGTCGTCTTCCGAGGCGATCCAGTTCTCGTTGGTTTGGATCAATACTAGAACTGGGAGGACTTTTGGGCGACACCCAACGACAATAGGTGCCTATTAACTGGGCCATCTTCGACTCGACAATATCGATCGCGATACATTGATGCTCACGGTTCAGGCGCACCAGATACTCAGACCAGACTCAAATAATGTTCCGCTAATCGAAAGGAGGTATTCCAGCACAGTTTTGTCTGCAGTGAACACTTG